ACTTGTTTCTTTGTAGCGGGGAAATCAAAAGTCTCTGTGTGGCGTTCCCCTTTTTTTGTTATTTTGGTTCTGTTGAAAACAAGAAGAGTGCGCCAGCAGCAGCAGCAGCTTCAAAGCAGCGGAGTGTCTGCGGCCGCTGCTGCCGCTGCCGTTCTTTGACAATTTAACGTCCCCACTTTAATGATGCTGTAAATTTTATTTCCCGATCTTTGATCGTGTGGAATCGTTTATCTCATTACGGGCCCGCAAGAGCGGCGATGGCTGCGCGGCGCTGCTCGGCGGTGCGGTGGCGAAGCGTCACAACGGCGTCACATCTGCTAAAGTGACGCACCCGTGCGTTATGTCACGTTGAATCATTGGAGGAACAGACAAAGAGACGCACACACTGCGGGGATGGAGTGGGGATAAAAGAGGAAGGGGGAAGGGAGGAGAGCTTCCGAAACGCAATAACGGCGCACCCGGGTTCCACAGTTCCACATGCTTGCGTGCTCGCTCACTTACCCGAGCATGTAAGTAAAACAAACACCTCTCTTGCTCTCTGTCTCTCGCTTCCCCTTCCTTCCCTCCCTCCTCCCCTCCGTCGTTCTCATCCCAACTTCACACTTCATCCCCAGCGCGCACAACCCCCTAAGCGAGCAGCTGCTACAACCTCCCCCTCGCCGCCCGGCCACGCCGCGCCACGCCGCTCCGTGGAGAGGTCTCTCCCGGCGCAGATTCCAACTTAATTATTATTTTAATTCGGGGGCCGCTGCACCCTACGCCCGTCCCGTGCTGTGGCCCCGGGGGATGCGAAAAGGGCGCGCCCGATCGAGACCCCAATTTGGATGCGATGTTGTAAAATGTGAGGTTATTACTTTTCCAAATATAGCCTTTTCTCGCAGTGTACCAACTTGTAAGCTGGGAGGCCAAGGAAACCGCGAACTAGCACAGTTGGGCATTGTTTCTTTCAGTTTTTCGTTCGTTAAAGCATATTCCTAACGTATTTTAGTGAAAGAATGAAAGAAGAACATCTTGTATGGAGCAGACTGGCACAACTTTTATCAATTTCAATTTCAGAGTATTAGTCCATTCCCCAAGTGGTATTTCAAGTCCATTTCAATAAATCCGCTAACAAAATGTAAATGATGATACCTTGTGTTTGCACTGAATCAGAAATGCTTCTGAAGTTGAACTACAGCAGACAACACTGTTTTAAAACTGTAAAATTTGTACCAGTTGCATTTAACAAGGGTTGCTAACTGTACACATCCGTGCTTGGCTTCGCGTGTCGCTTTTGGGGGCGACCGACTCCATGCGCAATGTGATACATTTTCGCGCCTGGATTCTCTTACCCCGAGAGGCTTGCTGTCGTACGACGAAGTGTACCGTGGCGAGAAAAGAGAGAGAGAGAGAGAGAGAGAGAGAGAGAGAGAGAGAGAGAGAGAGAGAAGCGGTGGGGGTGTGCCGCCGCCGCTGCGAGGGGTGAAGGGAATATGGTGTGGGGAAGAGGGGGGAGGGGGGGTTAGACGACGCCCACTCTTGCTAATTTCACAGAGGGGAGTCAAATGCGAATAAAGGGCCCTCACTCAGTCGCGTGCTGATTCCCCCCTCCCCTTTTCCCAAAACGCGCATCACATTTTGTGTAAATTTTATTTCTGTCTCTCCTCTTTTTCAACACGATCCCATTGGAAAAGAGAGGGGGAGAGAGAGGGGAGCCAGTCGACGCGGCAGGACGATTGTGCATCGGAGCCAACGGAATGATTGCCAACGAGCGATCGGATATCTTTATTTTTATTTTGGTTCTGTTACACCGCGTCAGATAATCGATGGCTCGCTGGATACCCCAAGCGCCGCGTGCGGTTCGTGCAGGTTAAATAACACGCATTCCAAACATACTTCGGAGCAATTGAAATGCCGAAATTTTGGTCGAGTGCGCCGCTGCTGGATACTAGGCGTGAATGCTCGGCTGACTTCAACTCCAACGAGGGTTCGAGGCGGTTGCCAATTGAATCAGTGCGTGACAATGCGGATCTTCAGTTGATGGGAGTGCGAACCTGCTGGCGTAAGGGCACAAGGGCGCAGAGTCTAACATGCCCCCCCGCCCCACACCCCGGCAAGTGGTATGAGGATATATCGCTGCCAAGGAGAGGATGGAGAGAATGGGAAAGGGGGGGGGGGTCTGCAAAGTTGTAAAGCGCGTAGGGACTGGGCTGATGACAACTTGGAAGCAACTTGCCTCAACTAGCTTTGGGGGTAGTAGCGACCTCTTGGCTCGCCGGCGAGTTCAGGATGACAAAAATGGCGCCCAAAGAGTTTCGACAAACCAACAGACACAGACACACACTTACACACACACATGGTGGGCCGTTCTTGCAGCCCCTTCTCCTCGCTCTCTTCCTCGGCCCTCCTCCCTTCTCTCTCTCTCTCTCTCTCTCTCTCTCTCTCTCTCTCTCTCTCTCTCTCCCTCTCTCTCTCCCTCTCCCCGAGTCGTAACCGCATTACCAGTTTAATAAGGAGCGACCGGCTCTCAATTAAGCTCGTCTTATCGTGCCCCGTAAATACACGAAACCTTTTCGTGTCATGAGAGAGAGGGAGTGAGAGAGAGAGAGGGACAGAAAGAGGGAGAGGGCAGAGAGTGAGCGAGGCAGGGATGGGGCGAGGGCGTTTGCGAACGATAGGGAGACATGTAGGGATTCTCGGATAGGGTGGCCGCCGCAAGGCTGAAGGGAGGAGGGCTGTTTTCGTGAAGCTGTTCCCTTCCCTCTCAATTCGCCCCTCCCTTCCTCCCACCACCCTCCCCGCTTCGCCCTCTCTCGCCCTTCTTGCCTCTGCTCCTTGGCGCTCGTAGAAGGCAGGGAGGCGGTTGCGGCCGAGGGGAGTTGGGCCCGCGCCACTAGTGCTGCCGAGAACGGTAAAGCCAGTTGCGAGGGCCGCGCCACCCGACCACATCTGAAGCTGCTAGGAGGCCGCCCAGAACTTACGGGCAGCTGGCGGTGACCAGCGTCAACGTCAAAGTGGCGTCAAAATACAGTTGTGTCGGAATCGGGAGTTGGGGCTCTGTTGGCTTTCAAAATGCCTTGAAACACATTTTCACGCTTTTACATGGTCGACACGATTTGATATCAGGTTGTTTTGACATCTGCTCCTAATAAAAATGTGTAGCCCGGTTTTCAGAATAATTAATGCTCAAAGATAGAAATATTAGTTTTGCTCAGACCTGTACAGTACAGTATGGTATAGTTGATTCACGACATAAGCACGCACAATTTTCCTGTCCTAGAGTATAGTAAGGGAGGTGAAAGTGACGTTTAAAGTGTGAATTCAATTGTTTGTCATGTTGTTTCTACAGGCGTTATGGTCACGGACGGTGGTGAGTTGCATAGCGCTGGCGATAGAGGGTGAGTGACGGAAGATGATGCACAGAGCAGAGGCATGGAGGGAATCACGAGAAAACGACAGGCCCTTCAACGCGATTACCATCTCTCACTCCATTGTGAGTGCGCTGGGCCAGGCCGCGCCACTGGGGCCTTTGTTGGTGAGGCCGACATATCACCCGGGAGGAGAGGGGAGGGAGGGAGGGGAAGGTAAAGAAGAGGCAGGGAGAAGAAGGGAGGAGGAAGGAAACGGAGAACACGAATAATAAAAATTTAAAAACAAAAATTACTCGCGTGCAGCAGTTACTAAACGGGACAGGTGTGACAGGTGCACCCAGCCTCTTGGCAAATGGTCGACCACCCTCATCAGGCGTGCACGTGAAAATGTGTCAAAGTGTGCACACTTTCAAACCATGGTTTGATACCAAGAAAAGAGTCACGATACCGTATACTTTTTGGGTACACTTACTCACTGAAACTTCCTATATACAGTAATGTTAGTATTGATTGCCATAGCTCAACAGCGACATTAACGTGTTCCAAATCAACATGCTCACCCACACCTCACGTATATAAAAGTTGTTTTGTTTCCAAACATCGCTTTTCCGGGTAGGGCTGGGCGGTTTTTTTATTTCAATATCAATACCCAATATTTTAAAATATTGAAA